CCCCCTCTCTCCCAGCTCGATCTGGTTCCATCTATTGGCTACTGTAGCGATCTCGCAAAGCGAGAAATCGCGTACAACATGGAATTTGTGTAGAGCTACGACATTGCTACGGCTCGGGTGCTTGCACCACCTCCTTCCAATCTCATGGTCCTGTTCCCCTTGCCTTGGGGCTGCTATGATTGTGGTTGGCTTATGGTGGCTGATTTGTGGTGGATTTTTGAACTTGATGTTCCTTTGCTTACTGGGTTCTTTTGCTCCTTTTAATCCAGCTTGCTTTGTCATTTTTAAGTTTGTTTTATCTGATGATATCATTATCTGGGACAGTCTCTTTGTTCATGTTTACTTGATATTGCAGATTAGTTTAGTTTCTTTGGCTTCCTTACTGGGTTGCTCTGTTTGTTGTACTGTACCTTCCCCGTTTTGGGTGAGGCTTTGAAATGAAGAAAAAAAAAAAAAAAAAAAAAGAGAAAGAGAGGAAGAAGATAGAAAAGGGAAAAGAACAAAGAAAGAAGAAATCATGATTTTACATTTTCTTTTATTATTTTTTTGTATTGTGTTTGTAAAATGACAAACTTACCCTTATAATTAACAGAAAATTGGATGGAAGAATAAAAACTTGACAACATGTGCTAAATTGACCATTTAAAATAGTTTGCGAGCTAAATTGGCTAAAAAATTCATCCATGTGGACATTTCGACATTCGAAATAGTCCAGGGGGATTTTTGGCCATTTACCCTAAAAATTAAGTGCAATAAACTAATAAATGTTGTTTGGACATTTACGAGATGAGAGAAAAATAAAATGTAATCCTCCGTCTATAAAAGAAAATCTTGGTAAAAAAGTGAGCGAAAATATCACACATACTGAGAGTTGAAGAGGAAATCCTAGAAAGAATTTTATCAGTTGTAGTACTCAAAGAGAGTAGATTAAACTCTTCCCATATCTTGATTATTTTACAACATTCACAGATTTTTATAAAATTTTGGCGGACTCATAATATTTTTTTTTTGGATAAAATAACTAGACATATATAATGAAAATAAATAACGGTGAAGGCAAATCAAAGTCCGTTAAAGGCGCGAAAACCACGCTCTGGTAGTTGCGTGTACGCCGAAGCCGCCAGTCAAAATCCACATCATCATCTCTCTCTACTATTTCTTCTTCTCCGCCTGCACCTGCTCTCCCTACGCTTCGTCTCTTTACTCCACAACACTTCCGCACTTTGCCTCTCTCTCTCTCTCTCTCTCTCTCTCTCTCCTGTAAACCCTAAAAAGCAACACCAAACACACACTCTCTCTCTCTCTTTCTCTGTGCAAAGGCCAAAAGCCATGAAAGAACCAGAAACCGACCCAATGGCAGTCTCAAGCCAGCTCCTTTCTTCACTGGTGGAACAAATCCCACTCATCCAAAACTTCAAGGGCAAATGGGCCTTAATCCGGGCCAAGCTCTCGGAGCTCCAGGCCCAGCTCACCGACTTCGCCGACTTTCCAACCTCCACCTCCCACTCTCTCTCCCTCCACCTCCTCCTCTCCGTCTCTCAGACCCTCCGCGATGCCGTTTCGCTCTCCCAGAAATGCCAGACCCCCAATCTCTCCGCCGGCAAGCTCCGCACCCAAAGCGACGTCGATTCGATCCTCGCCCGCCTCCACCGCCACGTCACCGACGCCGAGATTTTGATCAAGAGCGGGGTCCTCCTCGACCCCGCCGTTTCGTCTGTAAGCAGCTCAGCCTCCAAGAGAGAGACCGTGCGGGCCGACTGCCGGAACCTGGTGACTCGGCTCCAAATCGGGAGCGGCGAGTCGAGGAACTCCGCCATGGAATCGCTTTTGGGAATTTGCCGGAACCTGGGGACTCGGCTCCAAATCGGGAGCGGCGAGTCGAGGAACTCCGCCATGGAATCGCTTTTGGGAATTTTGCAGGAGGACGACAAGAACGTGATGATCGCTGTGGCGCAGGGGATTGTTCCCGTGCTCGTGCGACTACTCGATTCGAGCTCGTTCGAGACCAAAGAAAACGCCGTTTTCGCGATTTCGATAATTTCGATGGTGGAGAGCAGCAAGCACGTTTTGATTGCTGAGGGTTTGTCGCTTCTGAATCACTTGATGCGTGTGCTCGATTCGGGAAGTGGGTTTGGTAAGGAAAAGGCTTGTTTGGCGCTTCAAGCTCTGAGCTTTTCGAAAGAGAACGCTCGGGCAATTGGGTCTGGAGGTGGGGTTTCGTCGCTTTTGGACATTTGCCAGGCCGGCACGCCCGGTTCCCAAGCTTCGGCAGCTGGGGTGTTGAGAAATTTGGCTGGGTTTTCTGAGAATCAAGAGAATTTCGTGGAGGAAAATGGGGTTGGTGTTCTTTTGGCGCTTGCCAGTTCTGGGACGGCTTTAGCCCAAGAGAATGCAATTGGGTGCTTGTGCCATTTGTTATCTGGTAGCGAAAGTCTGAAGCTTTTGGTTGTTAAGGAAGGTGGGATTGAGTGTTTGAGGAATTTCTGGGACTCTTGTTGGAACAATAACAACCGTGGTCTTGAGGTTGCTGTTGAGTTTTTGAGGCACTTAGCTTCGTGCTCCCCGATTGCGGAAGTTCTGGTTTCTGATGGGTTTGTAGCTAGGCTGGTTGGGGTGTTGAGTTGTGGTATATTAGGGGTGAGAATTGCAGCAGCTAAGGCTGCTTATGAACTTGGGTTTTGCTCAAAAACCAGAAAGGAGATGGGTGAATGTGGCTTCATTGCCCCTCTGATCAAAATGTTGGATGGTAAAGCCGTTGAAGAGAAAGAAGCGGCTGCAAAGGCCTTGTCAACGTTGATTCTATATGCCAGAAATAGAAAGTTGTTTAAGAAACATGAAGGTGGAATTGTGAGTTCAGTTCAGATTTTGGACCCTTCTATCCAGAATTTGGATAAGAAATACCCTGTTGCTTTATTAGCCTCACTTGCTCATTCAAAGAAGTGTAGGAAGCAAATGGTTGCCGCTGGTGCATGTCTACATTTGCAGAAACTTGTGGACATGGAAGTAGAGGGGTCTAAGAAGCTCTTGGAAAGCCTTGGTCGTGGTAAGATTTGGGGTGTTTTTTCCAGATCTTGACAATGGAAGAAGGCATGCCAAAGTGGCACATATCAGAGTATAGGTACATGAGGATGATTCATTGATCAGTATGTACAATAGGTGTGATTACTGTTAATTTGGCTTCTTCTTTTTTTCCTCTCTTGTTTATAATTGCTGTTTATTATGGCAGAAAAATGATATCTTGTTAGTTGCATTGTATCTAGTTTTGGTGACCTAACTGGATAGGTGTTTTCGTTTTCTCAACAAAATCCAATAATTTATATTGCTGCCTGATTGTGAGTTCATACCTCTGTTGTACACTCTTTCAATTTCATTGACTTCACAAGGTAGCCAACCCCAGTTAGTGAAGATTGAGTCTTATTTACTTTCTATTGACTTCACAAGGCAGATTAACCTTTTCTCATTTCCTTCCTTTTCTTTTGTTAAGTAGTTGATGCAGGAAATTTACTGTTGTATCACTTTGTATAATTTCTCTTCAATCTATATGCAAGATTAATGGAATATTAGATTGGTCTTCAATTGCATTTATCATTGTTGTGGCCAATTCCAAATCTCATTTGCTGATCAAAGGCTTCAAAATTGTTCCAGTGAGAATTCCATTTTGCTTATTTATTCCTACCGTGCTCAAGTTCCTAGTTGTGGTCAAAGCATGAAGAAAATAAATAAATATGATTTAGGTCATTGCTTACATAATATCTGATTGGTTTGATAGTTTGGACTTGGAGGTCACTTGATAATATAAAACAGGGGTGGGCCCAGAACCATGTGCCTGACCCTATTTCTGGATTATTTGCATACTGTCTCTAATTTGTTCCACGCCTGTAATGACAGTTTCTTATAATCTGGTGTGCCCCACGGCCGGCAGCATGACCTTATCCTCCTCTCATAAATTCATCTGTTTTCTTTTCAAGTACCATTTTTTTTGGTTCTTGGGTCCCAAGTTTAGTTTCTAATTGAAGGGTGTTCATTCGATTTCCATATAAATTGGTAATTATTTTTTTACACAAAGGCGATAGTATTTTATTAATGAGGAATGAACAAGTACTATTTATTAATGAGGAATGAACAAGTGCTAAAAAATTGGGTCATGTCCTAGAGGATTAGGTGAGTCTTTCTACACTTCGTGGGCATAGAGATATGTATTTGATGATCTATATGTGGAGTTTTTGTTGTTATGAAGCCATGTGCAATTGTTCAAGAGCATGTGCTTTTGTCCTATCGGCTGTCCAATTTTGCACTCTTTGTGTTGGCAATCACCTAAACATTATGTGCTTGCAGTTCTTCTTAGTTGGCGGCGGTGTTATTATATAAAAACACACAGAAAATAAACTCCCTGTTTATGCTAGAAGCCTCTGGGGAAGATGACCAGAATGTTACCTTTTGCTTTGTTGGATTGTGCCTGGTTGGGGGAATGAAATAAGACAGCTGTGGTAGGTTTAATTGATGAGCCTCAGGGTTTGATGCCCCATTTTCAAATTCTTTTTTCTTCTAATCTAATGGAATCTTTGGAGAAAATAAGGTTCGTGAAAGCTGTGTTCTCTTTACAGGAAAAACATATTGCAAGATTCCCAACTTGTAACACAAAAGCAGAAGCTCTGTTTTTAGATTTGGTTTCAAAATGGAGGATTAAACAGGGTACCCTTATTTTTTTATCTGTTTTTTTTTTCGTCGTTTGAGTCGTTGCTTGTATAAAATGAGGTTTGGGTTGTGGCTTGTAAATATATGCTAAAGCCCATATGCATCCCATGTGCATCTATGCAATCAAATAGTGGGCTCATCTCATATATGGGCCTCTTGCCACCAGAAGAGGGCTCAACATGAGGATTTCTTGTTTTTATTTTTGTTTTTGTTTTCGGCTTTTGTTTTTGGTTTTGGTTTTTTGTTTTTTGTTTTTGTTTTTGTTTTGTGTGGTGTGTGGTGTGTGGAAGCAAACTCATTGCAAGTTTTACAAAGATCTACGTCATTTCATCACAAGTCAACTTCTACAACACAGTGAAAATAAAACTTCTTCTTCTTCTACAACAACAACAGCAAGAAGAACAGAACTAGAAGATCTAAACCAGAATCTGTCTGGACTTGGTGGACGAGCTGATGGTAAGCATGAGCAAGAAAATGACAGACAAGTAAGAGAGAACCACAGAATTGGTCCCTCTTTTACAGAATTTTCCAAAGTGATCACAGATTGGAGCCCAACCCGAGTGGCTGTTCCCATACTGTCCCACGTACCCTATAGCAGTCGCAGCAGAGCATCCAGCAAGCAACAAGCACAGCATCAACTGTCAACAATATTAAAAAGAAAAGATCATTCATAATGTCTAACAAATAATTGGACACATAAAAAAAAATCAGAATCTGGATGGAGAGATTCCAACTTAAGACCTCTTTAATAACCGAGCTTAGCTTACCAAATCGTGGAGGAACAAGATGAAGTAGTTGGCAGGATTTGAGCCTTTGCGATGGAAAAGGAAAACAAGGAACAAGGACAGCAAAGAAAAGGCACTTACAACAGCATTTGCATAAGCAAAGAACCTGCAAGATATGTAAAAGGAAAATTAACTAAACAAAATGACTGAAAATCTTTTTTATTTTGCTATGGGAAAAAACAAAATAAAAACTGGTGTTGTCTTTGATTGATCTTCTTACGTGAAGGCAGGGGAATAGTTATATCTAGCATCAAATTCTATGCCGACAATCTGAGCGGTCTGCTTGTTTGTGACCGTCACCCAAGTTGCAGCCAATGTAGCAGTCATTGTGAAAGTTCTCATGAAAATCTGGGTTCCAAGAAAAACATTTTGGGTTTTCTGAGGTGGGTTCTGCTGAATCTTGGCTTCAATGCTGGCCATGGTGAAAATTCTTGGGGGTTTTCAGAGGTGGGTTTCTGATTCTGAAGAAGAACAATTGCAGAAAACCAGAGGAAAAACCAGAGAAGTGATGATAAGAGCTGAAGAAAAGGGTAACAGATATAGAGAAGTGTGTGGAGTTAAAGACTTAAGAGGAGCATTTATAGAAGAAAAAGAAATGGCGAGGAATCTCTAGAGAGTGCAGAGAGAGTGATGGTGTTGGTGTGACTTGTCAACTCAACCGCAAAATAAGGTATGGGGTTTCAATTTCTTAATCCATTACAACATCTCATTGCTAAATTTTTGTTTTTTGGGTTCACTTGTGGATAACGTTGGTGACGAATTACATGGTTAAAACTCACGGTGATGATTTTCTTCAAAACAGGCTTCAAATTTTCACTGGAGGTCTCAGTTAATATTTATTTAACTCATTTGATTTGAATGGTTCCGAGTGCTTGCTTGTCTGTCAGGTAACTCTTTTCTCTGTCTGTTTAGTCAAATTTGCTTTACACTTGCATAAATTCTTGTGGCATTATTCACATAATTTGGAACTGCTCACATCAGAAAATTACAGCCATCTGTCTACTTTGTTGCTGTCATCCAAATGGTTACTGTTTCTTTTTAACTTAGTGCTGAGCTAAAAACCAAATGAGTGAAACAGAAAATCGGGATCCCATTAAATGCCCAAGTCAAGATTGAATTGGGTTAGTTTCTTTTTCAATCTTTTTTTTCCCCAAGTTCAAAAGTTTACACCTTTTGTTCAACCATGCATGGCATTGGCATTTACTGTGAGCCCATAACATTTCCATCAATTTAGTCTCCCCATTCAGCACAAAGCTACAAACCCTTTACTGGAAAGCCATGGTTTCTGCTTGCAAAAATTCAGTGGTGCCATAGATTTGGATAGCCAAAACTTGCAAAACTTTTTCTTTAAATTGGTGGAGCTCGTGCAAGTCTGATCTAACTTTCCAATCTTCCAGATAAAGGATAACTTTCAGAATGGGGTTTTCTCAAAAGCTGCAATCCATACAAGCAAAAAGATGTCGACACGACACGTCTGGCACCAAGGAGGCCATCATACGACCCCTTAACCATATTGACTGCCATTGTTTTGAAGTTACAAGCCTCAAGCTTGTGGTGGCCCCTCTTTTCCATTATGTCTGTATAAGGCTGGAAGGGGATTGTAACTCAATTGATTGAATCAATCCTGCACTCAAGATTTTAAGTTCGATTCTCCTTGCACAATATGACTTGTATCTATATAAGGCTGTGTTTGGCATGCTGCATATGGAGACTGAAGCAACTCGAAATGTATTATGTCCAGTAATAAATTGCTTCAAATATTGAATAATAAATATGGAAAATCCAATCCGCCCCACACATGATATTAATATCAGTTAAGATTTCTAGAACAGGATGTCATTCTTCATTGGACGCAACAAACATGGCGTGGGTTTACAAGTTCACATCCTTTTCAAGCAATCTTCTCTTTTCCCCCCTTGTTGTTAGAGGTTACAGAGGAGTGTTGAAACGCTAACCGGTTATATCGTTTTTGTAAGCATTTCAGACACATTTATTTCAAAATCTGGTATCTATTAACACTATTGGTTATATATAGATGAGTATTCAAGCCGGTGATACTGTTTTTTTTTTTTCAAGCATTACAGACGCATAAATCTGGTATCAATTAACACCTAAGTTTCCCTAAGCATTATTGGTATTCATATGTACCAATATGAAAGGAAGTAAAAGATTGATTTGATATTAGACCATACAGCTTGCCACGCAATATCCAGTGTGTGTATGAAGAATCCAACATATATAGATTGTGTAGGCACTAGGCAGGTAGCTAGCTGTGCTGGCTAGGCTTTTTTATCGATGCGAAATCTTCATTTCCAAGCAAACCAAAGTTAATGTCCAATTAATACTTGTATTTTAATTTTTTTTAAATTATAAATACAAACAATAATCTAAACTACAAGGGGATGAGGTTTCTCACATAAAAGTGTCATAAGAGTTCGAACTTGAGACCACTAATATGCAAATAAAGGTCATTTTCTACTAAGCTAAACTCCGTTGATGTATTTTAATTCTTATAGGTAATTAACTTTACTCAATGTTTTTGAAAGAATATGTTACCCTTCTAAAATGATAAAGAACAACACATTTGTAGCACTTTTTTATTTTACTATATTTTAATTATTATTTATTATTTCTAATAACCCTATTGAATGCTTAATTAGTGTGTGTATGAAGAATCCAACATATATAGATTGTGTAGGCACTAGGCAGGTAGCTAGCTGTGCTGGCTAGGCTTTTTTATTGATGCGAAATCTTCATTTCCAAGCAAACCAAAGTTAATGTCCAATTAATACTTGCATTTTAATTTTTTTTAAATTATAAATACAAACAATAATCTAAACTACAAGGGGATGAGGTTTCTCACATACAAAGTATAAAAGTGTCATAAGAGTTCGAACTTGAGACCACTAATATGCAAATAAAGGTGATTTTCTACTAAGCTAAACTCCGTTGATGTATTTTAATTCTTATAGGTAATTAACTTTGCTCAATGTTTTTGAAAGAATATGTTACCCTTCTAAAATTATAAAGAACAACACATTTGTAGCACTTTTTTTTTTACTATATTTTAATTATTATTTATTATTTCTAATAACCCTATTGAATGCTTAATTTCTCATAGCTGGACGACTAAATGTTGTAGACAAAGAACAAGACCCCTTCTTTATAACTTTCATCGAAATGGAAGTGGCAGAACCAATTTACCATCTGGTAATAGATATAGCATATATGCATCTGGTGGCATAGAACCAAGCGGGTTTCACTTAAGTGCACGCATGCAATTTTTAACACAAATGGAATACAAAACCAAATTTACAGTTTCCTAAACCATGGCTGGTACCAACAACTATCAGCTTAATCGAAATCCTATGTATATGATGAGCTGCCTAGAATGGCTCTGCATAGAAGCAACTACCATCTTTGGTAGAAGCTGCTCTCAGTTTTAAGTTAATCTCAATACCAAATGGTAGGTGTAGAAATCAAATTATAGTATGGTGTGCTTGTAAATTAGATATACATTACTGACTCATTCTTTGACATCTTAAGCTTTGGACATATTAGAAACTCTTTTTTTGGCTAAAGGTCATGAGTTCGTTTCTCATTCTCCCCACTTCTTTTTTAATGACCCCTTTAACATGGACAAGAAACAGAGTTTGGCGGTTGGATGGAGCCTTGGAGAGGAGACGAGACGAGAGGGGAGGGGGAGTATGACGTGTCAAACTCATTTGGATTGAAATTCACTTTTTATTCTTCTTCTAAAATTTACTACATTTCAGGGAAGAATGTGCTTGCCATTGCGTCACAAGTACTTGCAAGGGCTGAATTAGATGACGTATGGCTTGGAAGTAGCACCACAACCTTGAAAGAAACCGTTTGGGGTGGCCGTGTTCAAGTCCCAAACGAAAACACCAAGTTTTGGTCTTATCAAGGAGAAGCACTTGCATGTCATTAGGAGCACTGCTATTAGGTTGGGGATGGCAAAACAGTGCTATCCCGTGATATACAAGTTTTTCTTCTTAAGGGAGCAAGGATTTCTAAATAGCTGAATTAAAATGCCAAGGCTATCATCAAATCCATCAAAGTGTTCAAATATGAAATAAGTACAAGTACGAAAAGTATATATTAATCGACTAGTTATTGATAAACATGGTTATTTACAGAATGAATGGGGAATTGCCCCAAATATGAGGGAATTGAATGTACAACTATTTACAGAGGCTACAGATAATGCTATCTATTAAGCAGATAAGTCCTATGCCTTCTAGTTGCTGATATCAAAGTATTTCGGATCTGAAGGAAAATGATATTCCACATGTAACTGCAAAATGAAAAAGGACAGGCATAGTTGGATTACAATACAGAGCTCAAAACTATTTGATGCCTAGAAACAAACGGAAGAACTTAGATTCTACAGATATATGTCTGAAGCACAAGAACTGATAATCTGAATTCCAAATTTCATAAACCAAGGAAATGTTTTGCAGCATAACTCAACAAGAGTGTGGATCGAGGCTATGCGTGATCCGTAGATGGGGTACCTTCAAATTCATATGACCTAAAATGATTGTTATATGCTTTTGTGGCTTTTGTTTACAGAAACAAGCTTCCTACATATTTAAGTTGAGATCGAAAGCATTTTTAGCTAGGAAGCATTTAGTACAAACTGAAGATGCTGGTTTTAAGATCTCTAGTATGTAGAAGGCATCAGATGGAAGCATCAAATTGAGCATTAGAGTAGAAAGGACGGCTTGGTTTGAACCATTGTTATGCATAGTTGCATACTATGTTGTTCCTTTTAGTTCAGCCAACAAATAAGAATCATGCAAGAACACTATATGCAAACCGACATGGGAAAACATCTATAATGCAAATCAATAGGCACATTAATTGTCCGTATAAGCTGTTTTGTATAATATACCTTTCCCTCATCCGAATCTGTCTGCCGTTGAGGGAACACGACCCTCAAATCATTATACAAGTAGAAGCGCCGCTCCCCTTCAATGTCGAAACTGTTTGTCGCTTGTCCAGATAAGGCATCTAACTTGCATCTCTGGACAGACCTAGAACATTTCTTAGGAAAAAGGCATAAGAAGCGAAGGTGAAGAGCATAACGCAGAACGCCAGCACCAGTAGTATTCTTGCTAACCTTTGAAGGGATACACACAGACTTGCTTTCACTAATATGGCATCTATTCAGTTTATTCAGTGTGATGCTGTCCTTCTCGCTGATCTTTTCACATACACAACCATTGGATTCACCGGGATAACAGGCCGTCATGCATTCTCCCTCTCTATGGTATTGATTGAGTACATCATTGGTGTAGGCAGAGCCTCCAGTTCCCAATACTGTTATACACTGGTTTGACGATCTAATTGTATGGGCATTATTAAGCCCATTTGAATCTGCATCATTGGCATTAAGCTGCAGAGAATTTGCAGCATCTAGGATTGAAGATGGCTTGGCATCATTTTCTTTACCAGGATCTGTATGTTTTCCGTTCCCAGCCTTACAGGTTGGTTCAGAAGAGGCTAGAGTGATCTTTTGGCGCAAAAATGTCTGTATTTGATAGGTGAATGTGCAAGGAAAATGACCATAAATAAGAATCTCAATTAAAGCAAAACCTCAAAAGCAAACATATCCATCTAAAATTCTACAGAAGACAAAGATTGAGCTAGAAGAAAGTCCTCGTCCCTGCTCCATGAAAAATTACGCATAAGCAAGCAGCATGAATTTTTCAATTTCTACACTAACATGTTCAGCCACAAAACATGCATCTTGAGCCGTTTCAAATTAGCTCATATGAAGGGTAAATTTAGATGGTTGCTACACCTTCAATAGCTCACCTCAAAACGATCTTAATTTTCAACAAATGATGACTGATTTTTGTTATCAGCTTATCTTACCATTAATGTAAACATAGGGGCTACGCTAGTTAAGGCATCCTGTGTTTGGATATTCCAGGTAAGGATCACACTCAGGTTGGGCTCCTATTAGACGGTCTGAGCATAGGTTGACGTCAAAAGGCCTAGCAGCAGCAGTCAACTCGAACCCATTCAAACCCTTTTGCTACCTAAAATTCTTATTTCATTCACGCTCTTGCATCTTTGTGTTTTTCCTTCTTTTCCTACCTATGTATGTTTCCGCACATTCTATTACCTTCAAATGTATATTTGCACATAGGTATGTGGCAGCACTGACATCTGAATAACTCAATGAAGTCAAGAAGTGTCAAAAGACAAGTTCCTAAGTTTTCGACTATAATGCTTTCAAAATTCATGGAGGTCTTAAAGAAAATTATTTTATATCCTATAATTGGTGATACCTGTTGGAAAAACCTAGCCATATCCAATTCCATATAAAAGTGCAGATTCATTCGAGATAGGTTTGACTTCACATTCAAACCATGTGAAGATGGTCCAAACTTCTACAAAGCAGGTATCAATTACGAACAAGATTCATCATGCATAAGAATTGTGAGACCTGACATATTAATTTTTCTCTCTCTACTTCCTGTCTACCTTGGTACCCGCTGGCATGTCACTCAAATCGTAGTTACAGAAGAAGGTGTGAATAGGTGTCTTTTCTGGATTGCTGAGAACCTGCCATAAACAATTCAGTTCATGAGTGTATGACCAACCATGTCTTGGTCTGACTACCACCAGATGTTATTGAATATGTACAACTACAAGGAATTAATTGAAAAACTTTTAATCAGCATGAGCATCCATTATGCATATTCTTATCATGCATTTTGTTGAAAAACTTTTCCCTGACAGTTACTTATTGCATCATCCAAAATGATGATAGAAAGAAATTATGCTCTCTTTCCTGCCGGCTACATACAATGTCATTCTTTTCTCCCGAAATCAAATTCCATAGCTTAAACACATGAGAGTGAGACATCCTAAGCTACACAAACAACTATCAATAATCGCATATCTAGCACATCAAGAACATAAAAAACTCCTGTTGATTCAAAAAAGTTCCTGAATTCAATGCATTGCTGTGGATAGAACTGAGACCATTTGAAGTTTTCTGGTACTTGATATATATTTTGATTAATATTCTAATTACCAGTTGTATGCGGCCTTTCATAGGTATTCTCAGACGACTCTTGTCTGCTTGTGAATCATCCATACTAAAGCTCCGCTTCATCCTCAGGCTTCCATAATTGGCTGGCGTCATATTCCTAGCAAGATCTATTGATGAATAATACAGTAAATAGTTATCTCCATCTACACTGGTCACTGCAAACGGAAGTTTCTGTGATTTTGGCGAGAAATTCCCTCCAGTGACATTCAGAACAGCAAGAAAACCATCAATTCTCTGCAAACCAAGTTTCAAATAGGAACTAAGATCAATAACAGAAATTGTTACAACATGGAGCTCAATATATATCACATTACTGAAGAAATGAATCCAAACCTGATTAACCTTTGCAGATACCAATCGACCAGACAACAGGGATTCCTCAAATGATCCAACCAATGACCTTCTACCAGGCAGTCCAGTCGGGGTTCGTACTAATTTAACACCTTTAGGCTTAGATTTCAAATCCTGACTCCAGTGCTGCCCCATCCCAGTGGTAGTACTCTCAGAACCAAAAATATCAAACTTTTTCTGCAGCATATCAACATCTTGTGGTGAGTTACTTAGCAACCTAAAAGCCTCCTCTTTCCAGGACGATGAAATGGCTGAGATAGTTCCATCAAGTGATTGTTCTATGTCCTTAAGAGTTATATTGTTATCATCTAACTTTGGCGTATGATCCCTGCATAATTCTCCACATTTCACTCTTTCAGGAAACTTTGGACCAAGAGGAGATAAAGAAAGTGTAGGCAAAGCCACTTTTCTTGATGATATGTCTATAGCCCCCGATTCTGACCTTACCTTCATTGTTTCTCTAGAGTAATCAAGTCCAGATGATGATATGAACTGATTTTGAGATTGTGGCTCCTTGTTTTCAAGCAAAGGACCATCAAATACAGAAGAGGAGTTTGCATTGCAGTTGTGATCCAATGAACTCTTCCACTCTGGGGAACAAGATGCAGACCAGATCGTAGAATTAAAATAACTGGAGTTGCCAATATGAGCCTTCTTATGCTCATGTAATGTGGGAACATTAGAACTATCATTGTATCCCCAGGCGCCACTCTTGTGAACCCCATCCCCAATGTCTAGGGAATCACCATTGAAATGATCCTGGAGAAGCATTCCATTCAAAGGAGACAATAACCGCTTCCTGAGTGCTGACCCAGTGGCCTCAGTTGTGTCACCTGTGACAGTCACCGCACTTGAAGAATATTGGTTTCCATCAAAAGAATTAAGAGGAGAATCTAATTGTCTTGGTTCGAAACCAACAATCCTAGGAACAGGTGTCTGCATATTCTGCCCACATTTCTGATTTAACCAGTAGTTTTCTACCGTAGTGTTAATCTTCAACGCATGCATGTTTGATCTACCATCTTTACGTGCATTCGAAAAATCTGGTTTATTTGGAATCTCCATGATGGATTTCCTTTGGGACTCTCCAAAAGAAGAGCATGTGAAATCCACCTGCATGTGATTTCCCAGGTTTCCTCCATGCATCCCACTTAAATCACAGCTGCTCATGCCGGCAAGTCTAGGTGGAGGTTGCATAAATGTGCACAGTGATGCTGCCCTTTCCTCAGCAATACTGCTAGAAGACACTTGAGGCAAGCCCATCTTCAACAAATTTCAAGATGAAGTGCTTTATTTGGACTCTACTTCTTTTATATGGTTTTTTTTTCCCTCTTTCTCAGTGCATTCATGCATAAGAATCAAATTGCATTTATCAGAGCCCTTTACTTGCCTCAGTTCCTACTGACTAAAGAACGAGTTCTAAAATTCTAATTCCAATTCCACATTTATACTATAGGCCACCAGACCATCCCTACAACAAGCATCTGCATCTCAATTAGTTCTCCCATCCAATCATAGGGAGCTGAAGAAGACATCAGGATCTCACACAGGATACGCAGGAAGCTATGCCTTCTTCAAGCCAGCTAGCTAACAAAGGGAAACAAGCAGTTCATGGTTTTCCAGAAACCAATGCAGCATCCTGGAATAATTAACTCTGTTAGGAAGTGGTCATTGACAGCCTAAAGGAAAAACTACTTATTCAAAACTTCACTTTCTTTTATCCTTTGACCTTTGGTCTTATCATTTCCAAAAATAAGCAAAATAAAATATAGTGATCCCCCCAACTTAATCTTAACTGTTACCACTGATGGAAAACAAAATACTTAAGACATAAAACAAAACTAGAATAACGTAAAACAAAAACCAATCAAATGACTGAGATTCCAAGAAGTATCTCCTTTGAAATTTTCAACAAAATATTAGCATTGGAAGAATTTCTATTTGGCCAGCTTCGATTCTTAGAGAAGAGAATTCCATAACAAAGAAGAATCTCCAAAACACAAATGTCAAAAGGCCATTATAATATTAATCTCAAGTTCTCAACCAATAAGTACTAAAACTCAGGCCTTTCTTTGACACGATTAACAGAGGGAAAGGATTCAAAGGAAGACAGGGAGCTTAATGCAGAATACAAAGCCAACAACCCTCCAGCTAAAATTTCGACATGGGTCCAATCGGTTGCTTATTCTAGAAAAACGAAGAAGATATATATACACAAAACTACTTATTTGTTTTTTGTTAAGTATATAGAACTTTCTCAAAGTTTGATTCTTCAACTGTTCAACATAAAGCGCGAGGTCAAACTAAAACCTTTGTTAAGCTGAACTCAACACAACCAACCATTTCTTTTCATTTGAACTACTAAAATTTCCCAGAAACCAAAACAATGCAGAAAAAGCAGACGACCCATGATCAAATTTCAATTCCTTTTCCTTTGGCAACCACATAGAGAGCAATATACCATTAAAAAAAAATCAACATGAATAAAAAAGAGATCAAGTGCATGCAATCAAAGCTAAAGTTCAAGTCTTTCATTTACGCACCAGGGAATTAAGCAATAAGAGACTGGATATACGAAGCTGAAACTTTGGTTGCAGAAAACTAAGCCAGAAAAGAGAAACTAAAAACCAAATGAAAAAGCTTTTAATGGGTTATTCTTCAACAGGTTTCTTCTTCTTTCTTCTTCTTCGAATATCCTCTGTTTTCTTTGCAATTCTGGTATTTTCCATCTTTTGCCTTTTCCGTGTGCAAATGGATGTTGGGTAGTGATTGATTGAAGATTTGGTTACTCTCCCATTTTTGAATAAAATAAAGAAAATAAAATTGTGGGTCATGAATATATATCGCTTTATCCCGAATTTTCTGACTGGTTGGCTGCGGCTTTTCTTTCTTTCTTAAAAGTTGTTGGCATGGAATTTGTTTGCAGACAGACCCCAACCCAAACCCAAAAACCAAAACCAGGGGCTCTCTGTGACTTCAAGTTGCGGCTCTCTTTTTCCTGTCATAATTAATTTTATTACATTAACATGTCCTGTCAACTTCCAACTTTGTCTTTCATCTGAGGTATATGAAATAAGAATAACATTATTTTGCTATTTTCAATTATTACCATTCAAGTTGCGGCTCTCTTTTTCCTGTCATAATTAATTTTATTACATTAACATGTCCTGTCAACTTCCAACTTTGTCTTTCATATGAAATAAGAATAACACTATTTTGCTATTTTCAATTATTACCACCTGAAAATATTATCACACATAATTTATACCGTAATTAGCCAAAGATTGAAAAATAATGTTATGCACGTATGTAAGAGTTTCTCCTCATCTATGTACCAAATTTATTTTTCTTTTTTCATTATCTTTTCTACAAAAAGAAAAGATCTTTCTCGTATGACTTGGTTAAGTTCAACCTAAGAACACGTCTTGATTAAAACAAAACACAGATACGTCTTCAAATCTTATTAGGATTAACAAATTGGTATAAACATCAATAATGGTAGACAAAAGCAAAGATAATATTTATTTGGACTTGGAGGAGGCCTATGTGACTTGTACATCATCCAAAACTTCTTCTGCGCTCCAACCATGTATTTTATATTCTCATGTCTCATGTCACTTTCAATCCATTTAAAGAAATGAGAATATATTATTCAACTTTGCTCTCATTAATTTGGAATTTACCAAGAAACTCTCATAGAATTGTTATTCTGCCATAGTAAATAACCCACCAGTTTGCCACTTGTGTGGTTTTGCCTAAATTCTTTGTCACCTAAAAAGAAAAGTAAAGATTTTATCATTCTCTTCACATGTGCCAATGGTATTTTCAATGGTTTGTCTAGAATGTCCGCAGAAATTCGAGAGACATTTTGGTAAATTGAAGAAGATAATGTGCTATATAATTTGGTGCATTGGGGTGTGGGTGGAAGCCACGTTTGTTTCTCATTCTCATGCAAACCAGTTAACACACTCTGTAGATGTACCCGAAAAATGCAAAAATTACTCAAACACGAGAACCCAGGTCACCCATTTTGACTGGGAAGCCGAATGAAGACGTGGTGCCAAATTTTGCACCATTCAGCGTCCACCTACTTGGACCCAAAAAGCCTCAGGCCACCACACTATTATATAAAGCCACCCCAATTCCCAACTTCCACGGTCAAAAGCACACACACAAGCCTTCAAAATCAATCTTACACCTACTTTTCGCTGCCTTCTTACTTGTGCATCAATTTATTTTGCCTACTTAATTAATTGGTCCCCTTTTTGGCACTGTTTTAAGTAACAAACACGATGGCTGAAACAGTTTGCTATGCAATCAATTTTTACAAGCTCTGTGGCTTATGGAGTTGGTAAGACAGAGTGAACCAGCTGATTGTTCCAGCTAGTTTTGCACCCATTAGTCTGCGTAGGCATGCTCAAATGAGGGTTAACTCCATGGCCAAGGTAATTACGTCTCCACTCTCGCCTTTGATTAGTCTAGCGTTACATAACTTAATACGGAGCAAACCACTTTATTGAGGCATTAGTGCATAATGATCCTCACCATGTGTTTCTTAATCCGTCATTTGCAGGATGGTCAGAATGAGCAACCAACCACTGCTACAAATGCATCAGAGAATTCACAGCCAGCTCCTTCCCCTTTACCTCCACCTTCTCCTAAGGTACCTAGCTAACTCTTTTCTTTTAAAACAAGCACAAAATTTAATATCATCTAACTTATCATCTATAGGTTGAGCTACATGTGACATATGTACTGTACATATTTCTCCTTGAGTGCAGGTCGTTATCCCAAAGTTCTCAGACGTGCTTGCATTCAGTGGGCCAGCACCAGAGAGAATCAACGGCAGGATAGCAATGGTGGGATTTGTTGCAGCTCTGGCAGTGGAACTATCCAAGGGCCAGGATGTATTTGCTCAAATATCCAACGGTGGAATCCCATTGTTCCTTGGCACCAGTTTTTGCTATCTGTGGCCTCCATTGGTTCCTCTGTTGAAAGGGGTAAGTGTTGAGTCGAAATCAAAAGGGGTGATGACCTCAGATGCTGAGCTGTGGAAATGGAAGGCTGGCCGTGTTGGGCCTTGTAGCTTTGGCCTTCACCGAGTATGTGAAGGGTGGAACCCTAGTGTAGATGTCATTGTCATTAGTGATTAATTACAGGTGTTTGCTAAGATTAAGTATTAGTTAATTATGCTTGCCCTGTAAAAATTCCATTGACATGATGTAATTACATTTTACAAATATAAATGAGAAGAAGTACACATTTACATGTATACAACTGCATTACCCAATATACTCTGTTTTTTTTGTTACTTTCTTAAGGGGGGATGTGGTTTTCATACAAGGCAAAGTGTCTAACAACAAAGGATGTAAACAAAGCAACTACGAAAGGAGAAAAACTTCCTTATAGTGGGATGTCATTATAGTGACATTTCAAGTCTATCCCGCATTGTAATGCATTTTAATTTAGGATTTAGTCTTGAAATACAATCAGAGCGTTATTCCTATTGGATATAAGCTCTTCTCTTTGAAACCAAGTTAGTTTGGAACATTTTATGTTGAGGTAAGTATTGGTGCATTTTGACCACTCATGTGACTCATAACCCCTCTATGGTGTTGCCTAGCCAATTAGTTTCTTTGGGTTTTTCACAGGACATGGAAGTTGGATGGCAAAGACTTCGCAGATTGTTGCAGTTCACTAATTTGGTCATTAGTTACACAAATTATTTAAGAGAACAAAATGGTAAAACAAATGAAATCAATGTAGTTTTCTTTATACAAGTAGTATTAGATAGCCACGAATTAGAATATGGAAATTGTGAATGCTTTTAAGTGCTTGAGTTTCTACTGTATACATTGTTTTTATCTCATTATACAATGAATTTTAAGCAAATTCAACATTTTCCATGGTATAATAACAATCCACATTATTTTCATATTTGGTAAACCCACTATTTAATTGGGACCAAAAAAAGAACCCCTATTTTATTGGTTGAAATTATTAGACTCACAATAATTATCAGAAATAATTCTTAAACAACATTGTTAGTAAAACACGGAACCCAAAAAGTATAAATAAAATATGTACGTGTTTTATTTTGCAAAATTTTGGTTCAACCACTATATAATATTTTAATATAATATACAATTTTTTTGAATATATATTATTTTTATTTAATAATATGTGAAAAATAAGTGAATTTTGTAGGTATCATTCAAATTTTTTGTAAAAAAAACTTGTGTATTAAACGTGGAAAATATGTACATATGTATATAATACGTGTATTGTATGTTTGCTTTTCAAAAAATATATATTTTATCGAGTCTTTAAGATATATATAAAAAAAAATAAAAATACTATTAAAAATACATAGATATATGCATAATACGAGTATTAAATGAGTAAAAATGCTAACCAGGCTTTATAATGACAATCCTTTTCTTTATTTCACTAATTAGTAAAGCATCAATCGGAGAGAGAGGTATACGCATATATATGTACACACAGTGGCGGATCCACATAGGAGCAAGAGGGGTCAATTGACCCCCGCAAGCTCGGAATCCGCCATAGGAACCCAAAAACTTGAACCCTGCAAATGCCCAGAAGGTGTTTGATGAAATGCCCCAAAGAGGGAGTAGCCATAGCCAAGAGCAAGCAAGCTTGCTTGTTGCCCAGCGAGTGCGAGGAGCCCAGCGCTTCAATTTTTGTTTTTTTTATCCTGATGTCAAAACGACGTCGTTCCACTTAAGTGATTTTTTTAAAGACCTGGCCAAAACGACGTCATTTTGGCTTAGGTTTTTTTTTATTTATAAAAAATAACGCACAGTAAGGGGTTAATTTAAAAGGAGGGGATACTTATTGGAGAAGCTGCTTGCCCCCACCTTTTTAAAACATGAAGATGGAAACAAATGAAGGGATTTTGAAACACCGAACTTGGTTATAAGTTTTGGTTTTTAACTGATCCAAATTATATTTCTCTTTAGGAAAAGCCAGAGCTTCTATCTGTAAAGTAAGCCCTGCATAAGCTGAGTTTTAAATTAGTTTCCTTGTAATCTTACTAGTACTTCTCCTATATAGAAAAACGACGAAGGATAGAGCACAGCAGCAATGAAATTCATTGCCTTGTGTAGTGCATCCAAGAAAATGGGATAGTTTTTTTCCGGCCATGGAATTTGGAGTTTTTAAATTCATTGCCTTGACGAAGGATATTGATTTCCGGCCATGAAATTTGGATTTTTAAAATTTATAAATTGTTAACAAAATAGTTTTTTATATAAGAAAATAGGATAGTTTTTTTTTTCATTAAGCAAGCAAGCAGACATTATTAAAATATAATAATGAAAATATTACCTCATTAAAAAACAAGTTAACATATTAAGCTTTTGATCATATATAAAAAGTTTTTGACCATATATAAAGCTTTTGATCGAATATATGGAGCAGTGCGTGAAAACCCAATAAAAGATATCGAGAGGACCAAATTAAAGTCTCCTGCTATGGAAAAATGAAGCTCTGATTTCTTTACTTTAAAAGTGAATGATGTGGTTGAATATTGTTTTGTTTTTTTTTTTGTTTTTTTTAATTTTATGTGGACAATTGTAATGTGATTTTTTCTATTAATTAAGAATTATAATATTATAGTTTCAATTTTTTTTTTTTTCTATTTTGTATAGAATTTTTTTACCTTTTAGATGTTGACCCCTGCAAGAGAATTCCTACTGTGTACACACACATAAAGGAGAGAGCTCGGTAGAGAGAGATATATATATATATATATATAAATATATAAAGGCGAGAGCTTTATTCGCTATTCTGTCATCTCCTACCTCCATTTCCAACTGGGCCTTTATCTCTCCCTGAGTTTTCTGAGATTCTCTGTAAGCAAATTCTCTGTAAGCAATTGAAGATGGTAGACTTTGCTAGGGTTCAAAAGGAGCTTCAGGAATGCAGCAGAGACGTCGAGCGCTCAGGTATCAAAGTCAG